CTAAGAGGAAAAGTATATGGATATTTCAAAATGTAATTAACAGCATATTCCAACAATGCAAGAAAGGAACATCAGCTGGAACCTGCTGCACACGGAGAGCTTCAGCTTTGCCCAGCGGCCACCACTCCTGAAAGAGCAAAGGACACGATGAGCACCAGAGGGGACCGCTCACAGAGGGCAGGTTCTGACCACGGGGGCTCCTTCCCATGCTGCTCCCCGTGTCCGGCTGCACGGCTCCCTCCCTCCTGCCCTTCTGGGCACATTCGCTGGCTCCAGGACCCAACCAGGCGGAACAACGTTTCTCAGAATGTAAGTTCTTGTCTCCACTGTAGCTCCCCCTCAAAAACCAAAGGTCTGTTGAGGCAAGAATGTCTCAAGCTAAGTTTTGGGCTCACTGTTATGGTTTATGGGACTGCTGCAACAAAACGGTTGAGGGGTTTTGGTTTGGTTTCGTTTTTTAAGTTCTATAAATATCAATGAATAAAATAAAAAGGCCTAAAAAGCAAAATAATATTTTTTAAACATTTTCATCATTTAAAAGAAATCAGTTTTCAAGCCCAGCATTTCTAAGCTGGGGTGAACATCTCATGTAGTAGGGAACTGATTTAAACAGATAAAATGATTACAAAAATGGAAGAGCAATATTACATATGGGATCAGAATGGCCCAGTAGTCTTTGAGGCCTGTATTAGAGCAGTGGATATGAGAGTTCAAAAGTTATTTAGCACCTGTGAGAATTTCCAGCCCTCCTCAGTGTGTGTGTTTTGCTGTTTGAAAACCCAGCCCCTTTTCAGGACTGGTCCTTCAGGGGCTTGAGCCCCCACATAGCCCCACTCTCAGCTGGGCCACTTTGGCTCAGGTTTAAGCACAGGCCTTTCCCCTGCCGCCTCCCCGGAGCTAAGACCCTGCGCACGCTGGGTGCGCGCTCCCCATTCGCCGGCTGACGCAGCAGTTTGCTCAGCAGCGCTCCCCTGCCCCATGGGTCACCCTTGAGGAGCAGGGCTGGAGCCGTCCCACCCCCCAGAGCAGCTCTGAGAGACAAGAACCTGTTTCCAAATGAAGCAGCGCTTATCTCATGCGTGCCACAGGTGTGATGTCATCCCCGCCGGCAGAGGAGCGAGGATGTCTGCAGCCTCCGCCGTGCAAAAAGGCAGGCACTGAAGTTAACATGTCTGAGACTTTGTTAAAATATGGTGATAATTACGAAATATAATTACCACTACAAAGATAATTCCTCTTTGAGTTCTTACAAACAAGTTTTTAATTTGCACTAAAAATTTACATTTCAGATTTCAAGTCAACCACGAACGCTTGAGCTCGGCGGGGACTCGAGGCAGTGGCTGCCGGGTGCTGCCAAGCTCGAGGGCAGGAGCCCCGCGGCCTCCCGGGAATGTCGCAGGCTACGCTGGGTGCACACAGGTAAGTGATGACACTGCTTTAGACCATCTCAGCTGTTGTACAAGTGCGACAATAGAAGCCGCGGCAGATAAACTTCTGCTTTTTATTAAAAAAGAAATCCAAAACAAAACCCCAAACAACTTATAAGGTAATTGATTGGTTTCTTCTAGTCTTTTATTAGTTGTGATTAAGGAGCTATAGTAGCCCTGTTTACACAGCTCTAACAAGTCAGGACCTGCAGTACATTATTGGCTTGCGGCCCACAACTTGCAGTCCATTCTCAACAGAATCAATCTGGAGTTGAAAACATCCCCTGTAGGAAGCGTACACATCCCTGCTTATACAGGAACAGAAAACAGTAATAACTGCAGGTCCTGTAAGTTGCAAGTTCAACTTACAGAGATCAGCCCTGACTTGTCATTGCTCTCAGCATGTTCGTGATGAGATCAGAGTGCTTCACAGAGGACTCATACTTTCAACTTGACAAGGGACATAGGTGAGCGTGTTACACTTCACTGTTCCTCGCAGCTCAGGCTGCAGAAATAAATCGAGAGCTCCGCGCTGTTTAACATGCAGTCAAAGCACTGCCAATCTAAAATGGCTGATCAGTAATACTTTAATTGCAGTTTCATAGAAACAAATTGCTATTTAATTGCAATAAGCTCTTCTGTGGCTTAGCTGGACTGACAATAGGCATACACCTGGTACTAACAGTAACATGCAGCAACAGTGGTTATCTGGTACTTCGTGTACAGGAGGCTCGGGCAGCGACATCGGACCCGGAACACGTGATTTCACACTGAAGAAATGTAATACTTAAAAAATAGATGTATATAAATGTTCCTATCTCAGTTTTATTTGTTATTTAATAGAGCTGTTCAGGCTGTACATCCTTCCAAAAAGCCTCACGCTTGACAAACAACTGCCAGCCAAAGAACCTGATAGAAAAATTGAAATTAAAATGCTCTTTGGAGATGTCTGATGGTGGCTGATGGCAGCTCACACCGTGCCAGTGCGTGGTGTGGGGCTCGGTGGCTTTTTTTCCTTAATATTTACCCTAAAATTAGATGATGCAAATTTTATCAGTGTTGACTATAACAGAGTAGAAGGGAGACACACTCAGTGCAGTTAATATTCTAAAGCTGTGACTTAATTTCATGGCTTCATTTTGGTAAGACGTTCTCATTTTATATTTCATAAGATACCGCATAACCTGTTAAAATATTTAAAGATAAATCATGTAGGACTGAAAAGACAGTATCTTGTTGCAAACAGAATTTGGTTTGGAAAGGCTTAATGTCCCCCTGCCTGCCAGGACGCGTAAATCTCATCACTAGACAGCTGGATAGGTAAAAACATTAAACCCATTTAGAGGGCAATCTTTTTACAGAATTGTTTCATTAATAAGAGTGACAATTTCTATGATTGAGACGTTCAGATGCAGCACAGACAGAGCCTTTTATCCAGGTTCACCAGGATGAGTTCAGATTAGAAATACTTCCTTTGGTGGTTTTTTTAACAGCATTCATTTCTGGAAGTGAGGGAGGCTCTTACTGAGTGATTATTTGTATGACTTTTCAGCAGCACTAAATGCAGAGGGTGTATTTCAGCCTCAGCATCGCAAATGCGTGCGATAGATAAAAGGTGCACAAGTACATGTTTTTCCTTACAGATCGCCCCAGAAAGTGGTTTTTCACGTAAGGACAAACGTAAGTGGTGCCAGCAGCCTTCTACCCACACCTACCGTCCCCATTTGAGCCTGGTTTATTGTCTGAAATACCTCTGGTTTCAACAAAGTGTTTTACCTAAAGCAAGAACACTACTTAAATATGTTCTATTGTATATTCATAGCTCCATTAGTCCTCCTCCAATTTAGCACATCAAAGCAAAGGCTTCATCACTTGCATGTGGATTATGCTAACATGAGTGACATTTGTAATCTTATAGGTCTGCAACTTAAGAAATGCTTTTAAAGTAAGCTATTAAATAGGTAGCTGTGCTTTACAAACGAGTCATATAATAGTTTATTTAAAGCCGTTAATGAACTTCAACCTCTACAGCACTAAATGCGATCCTGCATTACTTACTAGAAGTTATTAGCTATCTTCTTAGCACTTCGAGGTTATATTGGACAACCCAAAGTCTGCACGTTAAACATCGTACCTTGAGTGCTTACACTGAAAGCACGTAGGGAGATGTCTACAGTCTCTCTAATACTTGAATTCCATATTCACACACCTTCAAGTGTCTTTTCAAAGCAGTACAATTTGCAGGCCTCTCCTTAAAGACTTCAACACCAGATCAAAAAGCTCAGAAACTTAGTTAAAAAATACCTAAGTGCATTTAATTAAAAGCCGTACAGAGCTTCAGTCGGTTTATTGCTCTCTGTGTTATGCAAGTGTTCTTTTGTCTTTACCGCCTGATACTCCACATTACGACATTTTCTTTTCTCTGCACCAGTCCTATTTTTCCTTAAGCACTGAAGTGTTAAAAGAAGCAATTCAGCAGCCCTCCAGTGTGCTGGAGGTCAAGAAGTAGAATCTGGAAATAAATAAAGGAAGAAATCTGCTCTTGGTTTTTAGACAGACAAATCTATACATCAGCTTTTTGTGTCTCGGCATCGCAACAAGAAGTCAGGCTCGCCCCGTAACCGAGCACGCTGAGCAGTGAGCAGCACCTCAGGAACAGACCTGAAAAGGAAAACTTAATCATGATGTATTTCAGATGTATTTGTTGAGTAGTTGTTAATATTGATTTGTTATTAATTGCAGCAGAGGCACATTCCAGGTGCGTGCGGTTTCCTGATGACGGCAGCCATAGATCCATGTTACTGTTCTTGCCACAAACATGGGAACTCGGAATAATTTTTCCTCAGAATTACTCTGCGCTGAGCAGCTGACAGGAAAACCTCACTTTTCTAAAGCTTAGGGGAGGCTGCGTTGCTTTGGGGGAGCAGGTTTTGCTTGCTCGCAGAGAACAGATCGTATTTGAGATGAGTTAGTGCTCGGAAACGGCCCAGGAAACTTGGTTTTCTTTCCGTAAGGTTATTGGTGTCGAGAAGTTAGACTCTTACCCCAGCAACCGCAACTTTATGTTGCTCAGATGACAACAGCTGTTGTATTCCTTTCCATGAATACTCAATTCTAGTGCTCAGCATGAGGTACAGGCCCTGTGTTGGGTTTTATTTTATTCCTCTTTGACCTCTTAGGGTATGTACACACACTCCTGCTCGTGTGCTCAGACACACGCATGTCCTTAACACAGGCAATGCTGCAGAAGGGAGCTGGCCAGAAAGAGACACTGCTACCTGTGTGCGTCCCACCCTTCACTGCAGTATGGATTAAGTTGTACAGAATTAAGGATCAAAATGCAAAACACAGATCATTTTGAAACAGTGCTTTGTATCCTTGCCAAAAGTAACATGGTAAAGTAGTTTAACAGACTCTTTACTGGCGGAAGAAAAAAACCCCATCCAAACAAAGAAACTACTTTTAAAGGTAATCAACAATTCAGGTAATGACTACGTAAGATACAGTCTCAAGAATAGTGTTTTGAATGTAGTTAAAAAAAAGGCAAAAAGTGTCTAAAACCCATAACTCGATTCAGTGTTGTTTTACTTTTTTATTATTTAAATACACCATACTAGAGCAAATGTCTCTGAAAATATCACAAATAAAAGATTTTTCTTCATTCAGCAAATTAGAAGTAGGTGAAAATTTCTACACAGTAGCTGCTATGAGCCTGACTTTTTTTTTTCCTTTTCTTTTCTTGGTTTTTTTGCCATGGGAAGTAGCAACATTAGGACAAAAACACTTACATGCATACATACATTGTATTTTACAGAGATACAATAAAAGTGTTTGTGATAGAATATCACAAAAGCCACATCTTTTATCTCATGTTCAGTTTGATTGCAACACATTTCCTTACAACACTTAAATATACAAAGAGCAAATAGAATGTTGTTAAGGTAAAACACAGGGTACAAACTGGCCAGTGCCCTGCTAATTGTTAATGAGGGTAGAAAGCAGATTTCAATGCTTCTTTTAATTAGCTTCATTAGTCATCTTCCCCACCCGCCCCCCCAAGATGTCCTCCGGTGGATCTTTTTTCATTTTCTCTACAGTCTCCCATTAGCCCAGGTTCATGGAGTCCTTAATGTTCATATTCAGTCATTTTAATACACCAATAAATGTGGGAAGGGCAATCAAGAATAAAGAAGGTGCAATGGTATGGAGCTGGCATTGATGCTAGCTACAAAGGTGACTTGTCTACTTGGAGACATGGGATCCATCTGTGATGAACAAAATTTGAGATGAAGGCACGCATTCTGCATTACTCTGACCTTTTAGCAGACCTGTAAGAAATAAAAATGGGTATCTTAGCTAGAATACTAAATCGGAGATAGGAAACTACAACATGACTGCTTTTCTTTTCCTTGTGCACTAATCTCTTTTTTATTAGATTACTTTCCAACTGTGACTTGATTAAGGCTTTCTACACTATCCATTCATACCACCACCCTTTTGACTTCAAACAGCAAAGAGCAACCATTTTCCGCAGTTTCACTACCAAGAAGAGCAGATGGGAGGGGGGACAGAAGAAAACAACAAAGAAGAAAGAGAGAGATGACACCAATAAATAAGAGGTGCACTGTCTGGTAACAAACCGTACAGTGAATAAGGTGGTTTTTCTGGGCCCCTTTTAAAAGGGAGGAAACATTACGCCATGCCTTTGAAGAAGCTCGTAACATGATCTTATAATTGGAAGAAATAGTGTGTAAAGCAAATAAGAAGTGCAGCCAATATCCTCCCAAGGCAACTTTGGTTAATATGCTGCATTGCACAAGAGCTAAATATAGATATTTCAGGATTCCCCCCCCCGCCCCCTTTAAAATTCCTCATCTGGTGCGTTAGTTAATGTTACATAAACATTTTAATACATGAAGTCAAACATGTGCTTTCACACTGGTGTTAATGAATTGTGATAATTAAAAGTGTCTAACTCAATAAAAATCTAAACTTTCATGGATAAAATAGAAATGATCATCCATAGTCTTCAAATACAATCTGTTTGCAATTACCAAAATGAAATAATATGTATTAGATTTTTATGGTTTTTAAATGACATTTTGCGCTTCCCAGGAAGTTCTTTTTTCACCCTTTCTCGAAGTTACTAAAAGCCTGAGGTCTATTAGTAACTGCAACCCCCCACTTTCAAGCTAATTAAAGTAGTGGAGGCTTGGAGGTTTAATTCCCCAGAGCTGAAGCTCAGTGTGAGAAAGGTAATTTGTCTGTCCAGAACAAAGATTAGGGAGCAGCCAGCAAGCATATTTAATAAATGAGCATCAAATATCCTCTACTATGGACACAGACAACACCAATTATGTAACTACAAGGGAATTGTTGAGTGATATGTAAACCAGAAGATTTTTAAGTTCTTCTCTGAGAGACGTAATCTAGCTCATACTTTATTTAACAGTGTAGAAGCTGCAGACAAGCATTCGCTACAAACCCTGCCAACCGGTGGAAAATTTACACTCGGAGGAGGTGGTAACACAGCTGCAAACAAGAGCTACTACAGGAACTCTACCACTACCAGTGAGGCGGAGAGTTCCTGCCAGTGCAGCCCCTGCACGTGGGACAGCGCGTGGGGCATCACGCACGACGCGTCTGCGCTCTGCGGGCAGGCAGGACCGAGGTCAGGCACAGCAAGCGATGGGAAGTTACACCCGACACCTGCAGACTGCCCCGGGGAGGCAAACGGCAGCAACAGCCACCAAAGCTGGGGCACGGAGCCCCCTCTGCCTGTACCAGTCACCACCTGCAAACTGCACGGACACAACAGCAAGTCCCTAACTGCCACCTCCCCATACCCAACAGAAACGGGAGTTAGTTAATGACAGGAGTCTCTCTTGAGTTTAATAATAAACCCTGTGCATGTTCTGCTATGTCGGTAATCTCTGGTGGTAGAATAACCTGGAGACTGATTGATCTTTAATAGAAGTATCTGTTACAGCCAACACTGTCATAGTGGAAGAACATTTTAATTAGTGGCCCTGAAACACAGCTTTCCGGAAAACACCTTGGACGTAAACAGCTTCACACTATTAAAAAGCAGTGCCCCACCCCCCACACAACTCTTGGCACCTGTCCCTGCAGCTTCCGGAACTCCAGAAACCAGGCAAATCTATGAATTACCAACTTGTCTCCCCAATTGTATTTCGGTTTTGTGGGGTTCAGGTGCTCTGCAACTCCCCTTTAAGAACTGGTGGGAGAACTTACACCATTTTCTAGAGATTATAATATCAGGAACCCCACACTGTAATCTCTCCCCTCAATCTTCTCCCCAGTACCTGGCCACAGCAATGCCATTAACAAAAAAACCTCATTCTCGTCGTTTGCTCTGCATTTAGCTTCCATCAGGTGTCTGCAGTTGTGAGCTCTGCAAACGCAGTCCAGTGTTACTTCTCTCTCCCATGTTCTGTGTTCCTTGTCATGTCTACTGCTTTTATTGCAACTAAATCATTTTTATGTTTTGCTAAGGCATAGTAAGAAACTGATAAAACTAAATGACAATTTAGACACCTATTTGAAGTTACATTAAACTTTACATTCGTAGAAGACAAGTGGATAAACCACTCCTGGAATGGTGAACCTTTTACTGCAGTGTATAAAGATGAATGGTTTTACCTATATTTTGAAATGGGATAACTATAAATATTCATTTAACAGATTCACTGCTCGTGAGTCTGTATTACAGATTTGTTTCATTAAAATTCACAACAGTATAAATCTATGAATCTTTAACTGTATTTGTACTTCCTTGAGAAGATGCTGCACATTCTCCTCCAATCTTAATTATCTTTGTTCTGCCTAACGATACAGGACTTTTGTACTCGTCTCTCTCATCACCTCGATTGACAAATTAAGTAAATAAAAAAGGCCCACGTTTTATTTTGCTATAATTACATTCCCTGGGTAAGACTTGAAAGAATACTTAAAATTAATCAGTAAATTTATGCACAGAGAAAAAACTAAAGCAAACACAGATATTGAAATGTAGCAACACAACAACAACAAAAAAATCACGGACATTAGAAACCAGTTTGTGTTTCCTTGGACATGTTTCTCCATGAACTAAAAGCACTAAGAAATACTCTGTACATTGCAGAATGGATCAGCCTTGCATTTGTCCCAGATTTTTTTAATCTTCCAAATTCCTATTTGCAGATAAATGTTATTTTTTGTGATCCTTGCAGACATTAATGAAGTTCCTATTGTAAATCTATAAAGAATTACCAACTGAAGTGTGCAGTTTTTGTTTCATTGCAATAACTCAGTGCTGTGTGATTGCCTGGGTTAATGATGAAAAAGTCAAATATACTATCAGAGCTGATGGAAAAATCTATCACCAATCTGAAATTAAAATTCATCTGTGGTCAATAAGATTTAATATCCATGCAAGTGGCGCTGTAAAGAGTAAATGAATCAATGTCATCAATACATAATCAGTATGAAATATGATGTGAATAAAATTATGTGCAAGAGTCATACATTCACTCTTTTCTGGACCAGGGTGGAATGAACAGTCTCTTAACTCAAGGTTGACAGTAATTGTTACAAATTAGGCACAGCAGTTATCAAAATGCACTCACTTGCATAGCTTTAGGACTTATTAAGGAGATTAAAATAGATCTAAAACTATCTAGTTTCAGAGTTACAGGACAACTGTTGATCAGAAATTTTTTTTTCTTCTTCTCCTCCCTGTGATTTGTACAGTCATTATTTACTCATTTAGTTAGAAACCAAGAGCTATCAACCACCGAGATACACAATCTCTAGTTGAGCTATTAGCGTTACGGAGCGATAAGAAAATAGCACTTTGGTTTTTAAATCAGAGTTATAACATGCAAAACAGACAAGAAAATACTCCTGAAAAAGTACCCTAGGATGCTCCTTCACCTAAACCCTTCAATATTGAAGTACACTGGTTTACTTCAGGAACCTTCTTTTCACTAGACATTACTTACTTCCATATTAAAGGATCTTACTTTCCTCCCACAGAAACCTGCTCTCTTGTAGCCCTTAATTTCAAGATTATAAAGTAATATACTTCTCTTTGTTAAGAGTTTGTATTAATGGATGCTCTCTGCTTTGCTTTGTACCTAAGGAGCTCAACAGCTGTCCAGATGCACATGCCCAAACCAAAATAAACTGACTCCCCGCCCCCTCCAAATATGTTGTATTTAAAAGGTTAGTGCTTTCTCCCCATGCCCCACACCTACATTATTTAAGTTTGGTTACTTAAAGGTCTCCTTGCAGGGGTGTGGAATGTCCACTATTAGAATGAAAAGAAATTGATCTTCATTTAGCTCTAATAAAGCTTATTAGTAATTGTTGGGTATTCACCTTCTGGTCTGGCAGTAGTGGATTACTCTGAAGTGAATTCAAATGGCCATTGATGAGAGCTGTAGGTCTATCATGTTCACAAAATAAACTGCCATTGATGTAGTGAAACCGATCTCCGGGGACCAGGCGATTCCGGCAGGTAGAGCACGTAAAACACTGAGGAGGCAAACAGACAGCGAGTGAGACTACAG